TCAACAAATATTCAATACTTAGTTGGTGTAAACAACTCACGTTTGATCAATTCCCACAATTACAGGTTGTTAATGTAAATTGAGAGAATAAATGTGAGGACAAATATTTGAGACTTATTTTGGTGTAGACAGCTCTTGTTTAATTATTTTACACCATTACAAGTTGTTAAATTGAGAGAATAAATGTGTCGACAAATATTTGATACTTATTTAGGTGTAAGAACTTGTGTTTGACCAACTTCCACCATTGCAAGTTGTTAAAATAATGAAATAAATATACTGGTATCATTGGATATTTGATTTAATTGTGAAACTTTCTAACAAAATGTTAACTGCTGGCTTTGAACCCTCAATCAACAATTCCGCAGACACAGTATAAATTCCACAACACCACAGAAGATATTCGTCTGTTGACTGAATTGTTTTCGTAATATAGGGAACTCCATCGACAATTCAACAAAACTTACTTTGACTTGAGTCTTGTTTATTTCTTGTCACAATCTGGAAACTGTTGAAAAAATTGCGCGTCGTCCAGTTTAAGACGTGAGTTATTTTATTATTTATTTTATTATTTATTCATTCAGTTTTGCAGGGTGGAGTTTTGTGAGGTTTATTATTTTTTCGAGACGTTCTTTGTTTACTTGTTACGGTATGAGGGATTTCAGTTTATTTGATTTACCTTTTTACGGTAGCTCTGAGCGGGACTCGAACCCACTGTCTTTTCAAGCTAATTTTGTTTTATTTTGATGACACGCTTGTGTACCACGCCACGACGTTGGTCGTTGAGTGGTGTTCAGTTCTCTAACTACTCCAATGTTCCGATGAGTTGAACGGGAAAGCCAAAACGATTGCTGGTTTCTGATTGCTTCGGTTCTGGTGAGTGTGTATCTAGTGTGATTCGAACCCATGTCGTTTGTATTGGGCGTTTTTTTATTTCCCATGTTGGCTACGTTGTAATATGCAACCACTTCCCCGTTTTATTGTGATTTTGAGAGTGTTTAATGATGTCTTCCTCACCCATCACACCATGACCCAGTTTCAACTACACGGCCATTTTGCAACACAGTGCGTGACGTTACCAATTCGTGTGTAGGTACGGCTTCGAGAACCGTGCCTTTGTCTATAATAATTATAATTGTCATATCGAGAAAGCAAATGTTCAAATACCCTAAAAGCTTATTGTTAATAATTGTTTTGTAATATCTAATTTGGGAGGTTACTTATCAAAATTATGTGGACATTTGAAAAGAATGTCCTTGGTCTCGGTAGCAAGAACTGCAGTGTGACAACAGTCTGGGGACTACAGTACAAGGAGATATTTACTGTGAAATACTTAATTTTTCCTGGAATAAATTTTTGCTGAAAAGACTTTTTGGCTTGTTAATTCACTGATTTTTGGTGAGTCGAATGTAAAATATACAAAAAAAAAGAATATTCGCTGGATTTTATTTTCACTGAATCACTCCTTCAGTGAAAATAGCAAAATTAATTCCAAGCGAAAATAAATTATTTTAAAGAATCTTATTTTCAATGTGTTTATTGACAGGAACATTTTTGATGTCCATTGCATTGGACAATTGTTTACGTATTCAATTTGTGTGCTTCATTTATACAGTGTTACCAGTGTTTGGAGTGGAGAAAATTTTGTCAGCTGCTCGCATCTCACAAGTTAAATATCTTTGTGGTTTTCAACATCTGTATTGAAAATATTGTTCTGATTGTCATAGTAATTGAGTTTTCCAAGCCTGTGTGTGCGTCCGGACTTGTATCTTAGAAATGCCTGGACCAATCACAATCAAACTTTACACATACATCATATATGACATTATACATATGCACATCAATTTGTTTCACGATCTGATAGCAGATGGCTGAATGGCAGCCATTTTTGTACTGAGAAATCATCAAAATTAAGCATTTCTCGGCTGTCTACAGATGGATTTTGTTCAAACTTAGTATATACCGGTACATTGGACATTATAGGAGCTTGATGCACATAATTTTGTTTTTCAGTTAAGATTCAAAATGGCCGACTAGCGACCATTTTGTTTTAATGAATGTGGTTCTAGTGCCATATCTGTGACTTGCTTTGACTGATTATTTTTAAATTTTAAATATTCATTATACATCATGTCATTGATATACAGATATATTGATTTGACGATCCTATTCAAAATGGCCGAATGGTGGCTATTTTTGTGCTAAAAAATCATCAAATATCAAGCATTTCTGGATGGATCTCGTTCAAACTTACAACATACAATAGACATTACGAGTTCCTGATGCACGTCATTTTATTTTTCAGATCGGATTCAAAATGGCTACCTGGTGGCCATTTTGTTTTAATGAATGGGCTTCTAGAGCCATATCTCTGACATGCTTTGACTGATTATGTTCAAATTTTATATATTCATTATACATCATGGTATAGATATATACATGTATTCAAAATGGCTGATTTTGTTTTAATTAATGCTGTTCCAGAGCAATATCTCTCAATACTCGTTTGACGATCAGATACAAATGTCAATCATTTAAATGTTAAACAATCATCATAATCATATTCCTGACATTTTTATATTCCAGCTATATTACTATAAACAAAACTATATATCTTAAATTCGATAACTAACTGGGACTGTGCCATGCATGGCTTGTTAATTTTGAGTCGCGTTCCACTTTGAGGTAATCTTTTTGATTAATGCAACCAAGTCATTAGTAAAGCAGTCACTATTTTACATACCACAAAAATGCAAGCAGGCAATGCAGCTTAAACAAAATACATTTGATGTTCACTTGTCAAATATATGGAATAAAATGTGCCTCACTATCAATACATCAATCTCTTATGAGACTGTCTATGCTCGGTGGCAGTCATTCTCTATTGATCCAGGGATTATTGTTGGTACCGTAATTCAATGATTCTTGTAAACGTTTTACCATGACATAAAATCTTATTAAGGATGCTAATGACATTAAAATCATGCTCGAATGCAAGTGACATCTGTGTAATGTGAGTGACTTTGCAGGTATATAATATAACCATGGTATCCTTTAAGGATGCTAGTGACATTAAAATCATGCTCGAATGCAAGTGACATCTGTGTAATGTGAGTGACTTTGCAGGTATATAATATAACCATGGTATCCTTTAAGGATGCTAATGACATTAAAATCATGCTCGAATGCAAGTGACATCTGTGTAATGTGAGTGACTTTGCAGGTATATAATATAACCATGGTATCCTTTAAGGATGCTAGTGACATTAAAATCATGCTCGAATGCAAGTGACATCTGTGTAATGTGAGTGACTTTGCAGGTATATAATATAACCATCCTTGTATATTTCAGCTATATAAAACGAGTCATGATGTTTCCAAGATGGCCGTAATATATTTGGTTGATGTTGACAGTGTTCCTGTATACACAAAATATTTTGATGTTTCTCTCATACCATCCACTGTTTTCTTCTTTAATGGGCAGCATATGAAAGTGGATTATGGGTAAGAAATTTTATATATTTTCTTAAAGGGCAGTGGTGGCCATGACCAGGTCCAATGTGATCAGAAGGCTCAATCAAGAAAGCAGGCAGCTAAATTGCATTCTTTTGTAGGTAGCTAAAGAGTAATTTAAGATGAGTAGAAAGCTCATTATCTTGCACTTGCTTTCTGAAACCTTCACACACAACATCAGAACAATGTTTGCATAACTAACACTGCTTGCCTATTAACTATTTATCACAATGGATATACTGTGAAATCTTTATTTTCGCTTGGAATTTACTTTCGTTAAAGGGATGATTCAGTGAAAATAAAATCTAGGGAATACACCTTATTTTACTGGGAGAGGATTGACCAGCTTTTTTAGTCCAAGAAAAGAGTTCCGCTTGGAATGTGTCTGAATCCCTCATTAGTATGCAATAATGTAGGAATGTACCAAGAAAATTGTTTTTCTGGGGTAAATTGTAGTATATTTTACCTGAATGGTCAAAAAGTGCATGGAGATTTTATGAAAATGTGTGGATGTTAACAGAATGATGTTGTTTGGTCACAGTTGGGCGTAGCTATAAAATGTGTCACTGAAGTACTCACACGTGTGCATGATTCCAAGAGTTTGTGCTGTGAAGAAACTCCATTGAAAAATAAGTAAGAATGTATTCAAATATGTTTATGAATCATGTTTCGTTTCAAAGTGTATTTATATAACAAAAATTGTTTATGAAAATGTTTTTTTATACTTTTTCGATGGATTGAATTTACAAATGACGAGTTATTTTGTTATACCATCACTCGAATTATGTGTTACGAATTTCTGTTAGTTTAGGCTTTGTGTTGTATGGGCTGTTCTTTCAAGTGTCCATGTCCACTGTACACCAGTAAATGTCTTCTCGTTCGCAAGCGATTTTTGTTAATTTTGCGTGGGAGCTGTTTTCTGTTGCAACTGCTGAAATCAAGGCCGTGTTGTTTTTCTTCGTTCAATGGTTCCTCAAAAGGCCCACGACATTGCATGCTGTTTCACTACATAATACATCAACATATGAAAGAAAATACGTTGACTTACCAATATTCTTCCCAGCTGAGAACAAACACGACTTTTCATGGATTTTGTGTGACTGGCCGTGGTGTTTGTAAACTTATCGAACTGTAGTATTATGTAAATCTGTCCTGGGAAATCTGCAAGCAAAGTTTTAAATTGCCATTTTCACGCTGTGTCATAATGTGGAGTCATAATCTAAATATGCACAATTGTTTGTCTCGTGTTCCCCAACGCTTTTAAAAATCCCTTTTGAATTTGGGGGACTTTGTAGTACTGTAGTAGTGGGTAAATCTGCCACAACGTGGAGTTTCCATCGTCTCTTGTTTACCAACACATTTAAAGAGGACTGAATAGTGATTTCTATTTACTTTGTCTGTTATAAATCAACTGTATTAGCTTCCTTCGAATTCCTATTGCCATCGGGAGTATGTCTACTACACTCGGCAGTGTAGTGCGTATCGATCTTGTATATACGGTATATATTATGTGAAACGCACCCAAACCCGGAAATCAGCGGCAAATCTGGTTTGTCTCGTCATGTACTTTCTTTTCTTTTCTTGACCACAGTAGGCTTGGCTATGAACTTCCACATACCGGCGCTTATGGGAATAGTGCATCATGGGTAATATTGTATTGATCGAGGTGAAACACACATGGCTGCCGTAATGCCTGTTGTTCTACTACATCGCTCGTGTTTTTCTTCGTGTCGTGTTTCTTCTCTGTGATTTTTTTTATTTGAAGGAAACAGCGCCCACTCTTCCAGATTACATCATGATGATTACATAGGTCAGGGTAACAGTGGTCACAATGACTTCAGAGAATGGATGATTATTTTAAGGCAAAAAACAAATCTTTGTGGCATTCTCGACAAGAACTCATTTGTATTATTGGTAGATACTGGGCAAAACACAAATGGCAATTTTGATGATGTGCATGTGTATTCCCTATAATCTATGGTAATTGTGCCAAGGTTTAACCAAATAAGCCAATGCATACATACAACATAACGGCCACCAATCGGCCATTTTCTAAATTGATTGTTTGGCCAAAACACTATTTTGTATGTTAGAAATTACTTTTTATCTTATAACAACTGCCCTTTAATATTTTAGTTTTCCCAATAATAATAATAAATTATTTCACAATAATCATTTATATGACATGTTTTTTTTGTTTTTTTTACAGAACCCAAGATCATACTAAGTTTATTGGGAGTTTCAAAACCAAACAAGACTTTATTGATTTGGTTGAAGTTATTTATCGTGGTGCAATGAGAGGAAAGCTGATGATAAAAAGTCCCATCGACCCTGCAAACATTACCAAATATGAATTGCTCTACAAAGATATATGAACTAAAATATAAAGTGTTGAATGAGATAGTGAAACACCAACAACAAATAGAGACATGGTGAGATATCAAGCTGAAACACCAACAACAAATATGAACTCTGATTCTCGATGAGCTGAAATACTAAGAACAAGTACAAGTCAAGCTTCAACTCAGATTTGCTCAGAGATTCCAAATTGTACATTCTACTGTGTAGGCACATGTAAAACTGCATCTCTTAATTCATTGAACATAAAGACAGTTGTCCTAATTGGATGACTTGAATACTGTGTTTGAATGAAATGATACTGATGTATTTATAAAACAGTCAGACATTCATTTGTCAAGACAAAAAAATAGATAGCAGCTAACAAACAGATACTGTAAACCACTTTAATTTCAACAGCAAAAATGAAGCCGTCTACAGTGTATATTATTTGTACAAAGTTGAGAATTTAATATGGCAATATTTATAATAAAACAAAATTGTAACTGACCATCTAATCTTGACCCAGTGAAGTTCAAATGTTTGATAATCTTGTCCTATTAGGTACAGAAAGGTGCTGTGATTGTAAATATTCAAGTGTTTATAGGATTACCACACTTGTAGTATCAACTGATAATCAAAGGATGGCTACAATCAAGGATACTAATAGTTGCATGTTTGCTAGAACCAGGATCCCCAAAAGACTAATAACTATCATTAACGTCTGAATTGCCATACTGTATTGAAGTACTGTTGCAGGTGGTTTTTCTGTAGTCCCATCAAGGGTTGTGTGTCACAGCATATTTTTGTTACGTAACTCCCTTTGTATAGAAGGACATATAGATATCGCACCTGATTGATGTACTTATCATAGTAAACTACATGTTGCATTCAACTGCATAGCTCATTTAGGAGTGGCCATACGGCTTGTCAAATCCCAGGGTGTTGCTCCTCAAAAAATGTTCCATTTTTTAATAGTGAGGGGAAATTTGTAATGGTTTACAATCTTCATATGAATACAACCATTATAGACAATTTAGAGAAATGGGTCACATGACCCAAAGTGGTACCGGTATAAATCTTCAACCCCGCAAATACGGTTCTGTTCTTTGTCATCACGTCCACAAATACAATCATGACAATTACATAGGTCATGGACATGATGACTGTAGAGAATGGATTATTTGGGGGGGGGGGGGAACGAATCTTGTGGCTCTCTCAGCAAGAACTCTTTGACCATTTTTATTACTGGTTACTGGGCAGAAGACAAATGGCCAATCATGCAATTTTGTTGATATGCAATGTGTATTCCCTATAATTGTAAGGTAATTGTTCCAAGGTTTATCCAAGCACACCAATGCATACATAAAGGCCACCAGTCGGCCATCTTTGAAAAACAACCAGCCTGTACTGCCAATACATAGCTCCACTGTTACAATATACTGTGGAAGCAATATGGGCTATAATAATTTAATGTAGTCAATAATCCTGACAGGAAATTAATATATTTTACTGTATTTCACAAGTAATATTGGCAGTTTTTACTCAACAAAGTAATTTAAAATATCTGAAATACACAGCTGAGAACCCCTCTCCCCAACACATACACACACATTACATGTACTTGTATAGTATAAATATGAAACATTTTTTGCTTGCATATTTTGTTTAGATGAAAACATTTTTGATAAAAAAGTTTGAATTGTCATAGAAAAGTGTCAAAAATGACATTTTTATATTGGTTTTTATGGTGAAATAATTTTTTTTATATCCCATTAGGCCACACAGACTTAATTTTATGGATGACATCCGCACGCGCATTAGTTTTCGCCTGTTCTCAACAAAAAAAAAAAAAAAATATCCGACGACGAGTCTCCACAGATGGGTTTTCTGTCTGGAACTTGCCGACTCATATTGTCACAAAGCGCCGACTTGTTGTAAAACTCGTTTTGGACTACCTCAAAACATGCCAATTTTGTCGTAAATGATTCCAACATGGCGACTACACCAAAATACGCGAGTATAAAAGTTCAGAGGAAAAACGGAGGGATTGTGAGATTGGTAGCGGCAAGCTAGTTTCGCCCAGACAAATTTAAGGACGTGTTGTCCAGAGTGGCTGTCCTGCATTTCTTCTGCAACGATAAAGAGAAATGGGAGAGGAGTGGAGGTGTATGGTGGTCTAAAAGTCGGTCAGGCGACAAGTCAGTTCGGTTGCTTTGTCCGCATTGAAGTCGACAAAACTGCAACGAAAACAGGAAGCTTCTTGGCCGAAGTCCGCTTTCAAGGTGAAGAAAATGTTATTTTTTTTTTTCATTTTCTGATTCGGATAATTTGCTTGCACAGACAGTGCAATGTTTTGTTAGCCATTGTCATAAAGTAGTGATATGTACATTCCGCTTTGACTTGTACTGAAAATGGTGTTCATGCTGTACCTTGAATGCAGTGTTTCTGACTGAAGGTACTTCATCATGACTACATGTACGAGAGCTTGTCTGAAATGGTTATACCTGTGACAGTAATACAGTACGAGATGTGTACATCAACATGTGCCTCCTACAAATAAAGACTTCTTGTTGTTTTTTTGATAGACTCTGTTCTGTGGTTCAATTCGTAATACCAGCTCCGTATTCCTATGGTTTTAGCAGCATTTTTTTTTTGGCAGGGTTTTTTTTTTTTTCGCCCTCTCGCATTAGTTTTGGGGTCTCCAGAGGATGTCATCCATAACATTAAATCAGTGTGGCCTTATTTGCAGTGACATCTGGTGAAAAAGCTGTATATTTATGATATGAATCATAATATTGTGTAAACATTTTTAGCTCCGCTGTCGACTTTGTCGAGCGGAGCTTATCATATGAGTGATTGTCCGTCGTCGTCCGTGTCAATGTTTTACATTTTCGACTTCTTGAAAACTACAAGTCTGAATACTTTGATACTTGGTGTATATGTACCTTGGGTAGACCTCTCTCAGATTTGTTCATTTCATGATGATATGTTCAATTCTCTAATTTTGGTGAATATTTTTGTCATTTTTGGTAAAAAGTGATATTTTCAACTTCTTGTTAGAAACCGCAAGTCCAATTGCTTTGATATTACATATATAGGTACTACATGTGGACCACTCTCAAATTTGTTCATTTCATAATGATATCTTTAATTTTCTAATTTTGGTGAATATTTTTGTCATTTTTGGT